CCTAAGGATGCAGAGGGATTGAATTTCATTTTTTACTTGCAGATGGAGAAAGATGGGAGTCATTTCTCTTCTCCTCCGTAAACTTTTACTAGAATTATTAAATTTGACCATCACAAGTGAGTGCTTTCTAATAAAACATCCCGTTTTAGAGAGTGCATACAGCAATACATAGCACTATTGCTGTTACTCTTTCCAATATTTACCAAATAAAGCAGGATTTAAAATAAATTAACACCATACTGAACAGTGTAGCCATAATGTTACTTACAAAGCCGTGCAGTTGGTATTTCCATGCAGAATGCTTGTTGAAACTTGCAAAAAGGAGTCTGTTTAGAGAGAATGAATAGTAATTAGCATAGAAGTTGGTCAAACTCATCAATCCGTGGTGTGCGTACAGCTATATAGTGTGGCCATATTCCCACACTCTGCACACAAAGTAGTAAAATCCATATGATGAACAGTACTTTTCATATGGTTCTAATACAGCTGTGCTCCTCTACAACATATTATTCCTAAGGTAATAATATCTAGAACCTCTAATTAGCTAAAAATAGTATGTTGGCCACACCAAAAACGACAGTGACAATTTCTAATGTTTCTTCAACTCTAAAATTTAGGTTGAAGAGTAGAAAGTATAGAAATGTTTATAAATATCTAAAGCTAAACTAGCTACTGGTCTTTCAAGGGTACATGGAAGTGAGTGACACAACAGTGTCCTGTGAAAATTGAAGTCTTTTTGAAATTCTGACATAGAAAGGAATACCAAGACAGCAAATTTCCTTCACAAACTAACAGCTACTAGTCACTTAAAAAGGACACTTTCTCTGAATATTTCATATTCTTTTTTACTTGTTCATTTAAATGCATTCTTATGTATTTATTTAAATTACCAACCCAATTCTCTGTGGAGGTGACAGTTTTGTTAATGCAGTTCTCACAGCATTTCTTGTTAGGAGCTAACTTTATTTCTTTCAGTGGGCTAAGTCAAACACAAATAAACACGAGTCTTAATTTCTAACACGCTATCCTCATATCCTTTCACGTGATTTTCCTTCCGCTTGCAGTAGCACATCACTGATGTTATCACTCACTGGTCTTAAGCCCGCCATAAGCATTAGGGACAACGTTTATTCTTATTCCTAGATTCTGATGTGTTGACTTCCTTAAGCGGTTCTAGTCAACTCTGACCTTGCAAGTGGTGTTGCACTACCCTGTGTAGATATCTGTACAATTCCAGGGCAGTTTAAGCTGATGTAAACCTGGGCTGCCCTGCCTCGGCCATGCATTTTCACGTGCTTTGTTATGTCAACACCAGCACTTATTCCATGGGTTGAAGAATAACCTGGTAAGAATAAGTAATTAGTTTTCAATGATACCGGCTGTCTGAATGACTCGCTCCTTGATCCCATAAGCACCTGTACCAAGACAAAGTAATAATAGGAATGAGTATCTAACGGTACCATGGCAGGATGGTACCCCTGGGACCATGGCACCTAACGAGAGCTTTTGTAAAATCATACGTTACAAGGATCAGAATCTAGGTATTAAAGTCTGAGCTGCATGTGCTAGAGTGTGCCACTATCCTTTGACGGTCTACACAAGCACCGCTGGGACATGCCGAAGCTGCCTAGGGGATCGCGTACCCAGACTTCATTTTAACGGAAACTAGTGAGCTTAGTGGGTAGTGGTGGCAGGAAAGTACAGAGGAGAGCTGATGCAAACCAGAGCCTAACCTCAACATGGAGTAGGAAAACTACCAAGGCATGCACTTTGATCCAGGAAAACAGATGTGCTTCTGCCAAAGAAACGTATAGGCAGAAGAGAAATACAGTTGAAATTGATAATCATGTCTTTCTCTCTCTTTTTTTTTTAATGATTCCTGATTGTATTTATTATTAATTCTAGGTATGCCATGTGAATTTGGAAGGTCAGCCATTCTACTCCAAGAAGGATAAGCCACTGTGCAAGAAGCATGCCCATGCCATCAATGTTTAAAAGAAGAGTTGGTAGAGAGTAATGCTGGGGAAAAAACAGATGACTAACTGGGCAATTATAAAGTTGATAACCACGGCTAGCATTTCTCTTGGTAAAAGCTAGGAAGTTGATACTTCTGAAGTTTAACTTTAACCTCTTTCATAAATGCAGAACATGCTCTTGCAAGGTTCATCCAAAAACCTACTGCATGAACAGTCAAAAACAAATGAACTAGTCCATTATTAGAGCAACAGTAGGGGGAAATACTGAAATTAACTAAAAACTGTAATGTAAAAAGTAATGCACAAATACAGTTTCAAATGAACTACCCACAGCAGTTTTGCTGCTTAGACCACACACTAGTGTTTAAGAAAAACTGGAAAAGTCCTTTTGTAGTAAGTCATTTTCTTTCATAACAAGAGTAAGTAAGTGCCACACGTACGATAATCTGTAGAAAGGCCATAGCTTTCAAAGGGAAATAAATAGATTAGGGTTTCCTCTATGAAAAGTGAGTGCTATTCCATTACGTTGTGGTGCTACCTCATAGCATCAAATATTTTAGATTCTTTCCAAATAAGAAGTCTGCCTTGAGTCCATATGTAGCTGGGAAGCCTAGGAGATGATCCATAACTCAGTTTGAACATAAAGTGGAAACAGAGTTAACTCCTTCCATAACCCAGTAAGACTGAGAAAAGCATGCTGGGTCAACCTTGCTAGTGCACTTGGCTTGTACATGCGCAGCAGATTAGTTCACTTTCAAATCATAATGGACAAGGACAACTGGCTTTCTCCAAATTGCTCTTGCATTGAATGGAATAGAGCTGGCTGGAAAGGCCAGCTTTTAATTCGAAACCAGTTTTCCTTTCCTCTTGTGGAAAAAAAAAAACCCCACCACTCAAAGTTGCTTTGGTTTCTAATTCCCATTGATATCAGTGGGAGGTAGGAATCTACATCTGGTCCTTCGCATTGGTGAACACAGAAGACACAGGTCCATCTAGCACAGCTAGGCAGCGGGAGATAGCTTGCAAAAGTTCCCTGCTCTATCCCACGTAGTTAGGAAGAGGGCATCTTTTTTTTTTTTTCCTACAGTATATTAAAATTGATTAAAAATTCATAAGGCAGCATAACACCACAGGCACATACTCTTATTACGTTTGTTAGTTTAAATGCAACACATCCTGAATTGGTGTAGTATTTGCCATTGTAAAACAGTAGATAGGCTCCGACAATTAGGATAACCATACAGTGATCTTTTCTAGTATTTTAAGAACAACTTTCAAGTTGTTCAAAGTTATTTATAAAACTTTTTTGGGGTTTTTTTTTGCAAAAGAGCAACATTTGTAGTACTGACAATACATTTGAATTTTTAATTTTAAATATCAATGACTTTTATATTGGAGACAGCACTTCTATCTGATAGAAAATAGAGTTAAAATGAAAAGTCTGATCACTATTCAAGTTTTACTAATTTGTTTAAGTGAGAATTATGATGTGTGTGTTGACAGCTTGCAGTACTGACAGTTTTGAATTAGTATTTCTGAGGCTGATGGTGCATTCTGTGGGCCACGTTCTGGTGCCACCTGCACCCTATTTTACCTTGTGTTTTCAGTAACAAGGAAGGACATGGCATTGTCTGCCTTTTCCCTCCTATGGGTATGCCCATTTTAAGAAAATTGGTGTGTCTTTTCAGGGATGAAAAACTACCCAAAGCTTGGGGGAGGAATAAAAGAAATTTGGAGTTCTTATATGAGAGTTAGCTGCAGGCAGTCCACATCTTGGACAAAAATAACAACCTGAACTGCCTGTGGCAGTTTTGACATGTTTGACCTGTATTTATTCAGTAGGTATCTTAGTTCTCACTGATCTTAGCAGTGACCTCATCTGAGTGCTACAGGGTCAGATTTTTGTATGCATGAATTATTCTAAAACACTAGTACGTTATACGCAAAGCCTTTTTTTCTATAGCAAACAAATTTTCTGTTTTCAGTCGGTGCTGGGCTGGTGTGAATGTGGTTCCATTGATTACAAAATCCAAAGATCTGCCTCGTAATATTCTCTAGAGGAATAAATTGTAATCATGGAACTTAAACATTTTTTCACTCATATTTGACTTCATTAAATACCTTTTCGTAACAGTGAGACAATTCTAGATTTCCTTTTAATTTTTGAATGTCATTCAGCAAAATGGTGTTTATTACTCTCTGTTATTTAAGAGGATTCATACCAGGATATTATGTACTAAGACTGCATTGAAGATATTCTTTAGGCAGATTTCTGTGTTACCCACTGACCGGGACTAATCTCTTACTGTCAGCATCAAAACAGGGACTCAGACCCCGTGGGAGGACATAAAACGCTAGGGCTTGTGATGCCTCAGGAGAATTTCATGAGGTCTTTCGCCTCTGATGTGTGTATGGACTCCCTCTCCACCTTCCCCCTCAACGTCCCTAAAAGCTCCCTCTTCGCTGGCAGTGTGAAGGACAAAGCGTTTTAGGAGGCGGTCAGAGATGGAGGGCTGCGGCTTAGGCAGGGGTACGGTCTGTGCAGGGATGGCGGCAGGCAGCACGGCTGGGGCTGTCTCTTCTTCACCTCCACGGGGGAGCGCAGATTGCCAGCTGAAGTGGCCCAGGTCAGCCGGCGACGGGGGTGTGGGACACAGGGGGTCTCGGTGTGGGCAGGGGAAGGGAGGCTTGGATGGGAGAAGGGAGGGCACCCGCGGCAGCCGGACTGTAGGGGCTCTGGGGGCCTCTGGTTGAGTGTGAAAAGATGAGGCATTCGGGAGACGGGAAGCCCTTTCTGAAGCTGGGGTTGGAGGAGGGGGAATAGCTAGGTAAGGCCGGTTTCACTAAGTTGACATGTTAGATAGTTGGGGCAGGGCAGAGGGGGAAGGGGGGAACAGCCGGGATGACTCACTACAGTCAGGGAAAGGGCTTGAAACAAGAAGTTGGGGTACAAGGAGCTCACAATAGTCCAGAGAGATAGTATGAATATGTATAGAAGGGGTGAGCCGGGGGGATACAGGATCCCATCTAGTAAATTTGAAGTCGATACTGTGGAAAGGTGAATGCAATGTATGAAAGCATAGCTGAGCTAGCTCGCCGAGGGGCAACAGTGAAAATGCAGCAGCACAGACTCCAGCGGGAGCCGTACTAGCCTGAGAGAGTCCTGAAAATGTCCTTTTCAGCGGGAGCCGTACTAACTTGAGTGTCCTGAAAATTTCCTTGGACAGATAACCTGCACTGTAACGCATGCCCTGACTCCAGCTGGTGTCTGAGCAAGTGAGATTAAAGCTAGTTTACATATCACTATATGAGGCACAGTGATATCTCTGAATGAAGAACAGAGATACCCTGAGGATTATCATGTAATAAATTTCCTGTTTTGACTTGTGCTGCTTCATAATGTGGTCCAAAAATAGGGAATCCACTTACCCGCCCTTGATATCTATATTAAGATATAATTTTTGCACATATCTGAACCAGAAATTTGTGAATAATAATGTAGTACTTTAACTTTCACAGGGGTAGAATACCATGTAACTGCGGATACTCTTCTGCCACATCATCTGTGTGATATGGAGGGGGGGAAAGACGCACATATATATATATATATATATATAAAAAATTCAGAATAGGGCCCTTCAACTATCACTGGACATAAACGCTGTACAAAAATATGCAAGATGAATAATGTGTACTTGTTTATGTTTTATGTCTTGTAATAGATGCTTGGGACAAGTCCTAAGTTCCTCTAAATATTTCTTTTCATTCTAATTAACGTGGGGTTTTACATAATAAAACAAAGATACTGTACCTCTGAATGATCAATTAAAAAGACCAGTCTTTTATCTAATTAAAAAGTATTCAGTAACTTTTCAGTCAAAGGCTTGAAAAATGATCTTAATGCTTTTTCTCTTTTTCTGTTCTTTTTGCAGAACAGGGTAAACTAAATGTTTCCAAAGAAGACTGCTTTTATTATCTGGAAAAAAAACCCACTCTTATGACTTCTTTTTTTTAGAAGTTAGTTTTTACTATATTGGATTTACACATTACACATTTCTAAAATCAATTCAAAACAAGGAAAAATATTTTACTTTGGTCCTTCAGTGGTCAGTACTTTGGGTGAAATGTTTTGATAAAGATTATTTGTATTTATGTTTAATAATGTGAATGTCCACAGCACTGAACACACTCATTAGTGTCTGATGCTGGGCACGTAATGTTTATTTGCAAGACTTGTCTCTTGGTAGCAGATATTACTTTGTTTAGTATTTATAAACATCAGAATTTTAAGCTGAGTGATTTCTTGCCTGCAGTGATCGTATTAGAAGTCTAGGTTTTATAATATATTGACATGTTGACTTGATGCCACAACTGCCCTTGGTTTTAGACATACGTTTTTTCTTAAGTTCCTAGTTATTTCAGAAACAGACTGTAGTGTGGTTTATGAGGTGTGAGTAACTACCTTGCATGGATTATCTGTGCCAACATGAATAAAACAGTCTAGTAATAAAAGGAATGTGCAAATACAGTTAAAACTTTATGATTTGGGCATATTTATTAATATGACGTGAACAGCCGACAGCTTTCAGCCATGTAACACTGATAAGAAAGCATACACAAGCTTGTACTCTTACTTCAGACCTGAAAATAAAAATTAAAAGCATTGGTTTCAACTTTATTGTGTATCAGTCTCAAATGTTTTATTAATCAAGTAACACTGTTTTAAACAAACAAATGTTAGTATGCTTAAAAGATGTGGTGTACTAACAGTACATGTTGTAACTTCCCAAGACTTGTATAGTCACAGACCTTATTGTGTCAACAAATACTGTTTACAGTAACTTTATAAGGAATGGGTAAATTCTGTCTTAGGTTACATCGACGCATCTGAGAACAAAGTTTGATTGCATAAGTTCAGGTGGGTGTTCTTCCATTTCTTAGCAGAAGTGACTTTAAATAATATACAAAACGTTGTAAACGTCCTCATTGAGCTCTAGTGCCAAGAAATACTTCCAAATGAAAGGGTATCTTCATATAACAGTGTGGCTTATAAAAACAGCCATTTTGTGCGTTCCCAATCCACACCCCTCAGGAATGCAGGATTTTTAAAGATACAACTAATTATATTAAACCTAATTAAGAAGGTACATGATAAATGGACAGACTTGGCTTTAGATGGCATTACAAAGTACAGCATCGGGAATCACAACTTTGTGCACTTTGATTTTATTTTACAGCCCTACTTTCCGTTTACAATGTGCGTAAGGAAAAAAACGAATGAATTCTCAAAATAATGAACAGAACATAGGCGATTTTCTGTCAGTTCAAAACTGCTGTTTTTCAGATTGTCTGTTCTGACCTTTAACCTTTGCACAAGACAGTGGTTCCTAGTGTGCACTGTGATCCCTGGAGAGTCCAGCTGTTGGAAGTGGAAGCAATAGAGGCACAAGTGCAGCACTGTGCCAGCTAACGGGGTGCAGAAAGTGAATAGAGCAAAGTTCATTAGAAAATGACATGGTGCAAAATAGCTTGACAAGTGTTGCATTAAGAGATTCTTAATAGAAGGGAGATTATGATTTGCTCTGAAGAAAATGGTGATTTCAAAACTATAGGCTTTGGCATTGTTTCCCTCCCCTCCCAATCACGAATCTTAAATTCAGCCAGTTTCTGTTGATTAAGAAAGGAAGGAATGTGTGAATAAGATTGCTGAAACCATTATTGAATACACAATGAAATGCTTTGTTCTCCCAGCCAAATCAGAGAGTTATGGATGAGATTCAGATCATATTCAGGCATAAATTCTGTGCTGTATGCCTATAAAACGTGCCCTTAGATAGCTGTTAAAAATACAGTTGTTCCTCCTCTTAGGATGATTACATCAAAAGAAAACAGTAACAAATGTGTGTTGTACTAATAAGGACTGTCAGACTGAGTCACAAGACTTTTCTGTGCAGTAAAGACAAGCAGAATGAATTTTTTTCAAACAAAGCAAAACTTTTGAACAGAACATGTTTTTCCTTTAAAAGTTTCCAGATTTTAACTGTTAGGGAATAATAAATTAATATGCGTAAAGTATCGTTAATAAATCTGCCTCTGCTACGAAAGTATTTTCTAATCTTACTACTTCAGAATTCAGATTTTCATTAATGACAAAGATGTTATGGAAATTCTTCTGCTTCCACTTAGTTTTACTATGTGTAGTGTTACCGAAAAAGAGTTGAGGCCTTTCTGAGACTGAATTAATGATTTATTTTTCTTTTAATTAGAAGATATAGATAAAAATACAACTTTGAATTGATAAAGGTGATGGTCCTTCCAGTGCTTGTGGAACGAGTACTGCTTGCTACAAGGAAAACTAGGAAACTTGCTCTTCTTCTAGAATGTTTTATTCTTATGGTGCATTAAAGAAGACGTTTTGGATTTTTAGGAAGCTTAATCAACATCTTAGCCATAATTAAGGATCTCATTTCAGAACAAAAGAATGATTTACAGGATTTTAATTATTTTAAGATCTAATCATACGTAGACTGGAAAATAATGTTGGCATCAAGGTTTAGTTTGATTTAAAGAAATCTTAATGTTGATGAATGCAAGCATTCCTGTATGCACGTAGGGAACATGTATGTGGATTAGAACACGCAGAACTGAGGCTCTCATTTCCTTTAAGTAGATGTGTTCCATACCTGCAGGATTTCAGCCTAAATTGTTGTCATACAGTCCATTTATGATACATAGCATAATAATAATGCATTGAAGTGAGTGCACCTAGAGACCTAGTTCTTGTTATCACTTAAGTGTTTTTCTTTATGAGGTAACATTTCTAGAATCCTGATAGCATAGGAGATGTGGGAGCAGAAAGAAGGGCACACTTTCCAAAATCTGGCTTCATATAAAAAAAATTAATTCAGGAATAAATATTTTATTTGTGCATTATAAACCAAAGACCAAATCTATTCCTTCACAACCAAATGTTCTTCTGCAGTACCCAATGCCGCTGGCAGGCCTGCATGTTCCCTGACCCATTTTCTTTCTCTTCCTGGAAATTTTTCCCTGTACTGATTCTGAGGACATCATAAATTTCCCTATGATTTTTGTACTTGTGGAAGCCTGACCAGAGTTACTCTTACACGTTTGTAAGCT